TGGTCTAGCAGCGGCTGCAGGAGGCTCTTGGCCTCGTCGTCGAGCGCAGCGAGGAGCGGCGCCGCCAGCTCCCGGGCGGCAGGCGTCGTCGTCGTCATCGTCCGGCCAATCTCGAAATGACCCTGGGGATCGGTCGGCGTATCCTTGGAACAACACCTGGTCACCGGAAATATCCCACGTCCATACAATTACCAAGATCATGCAGTGTTTTTCACTGTTTCTCACGTGAATATCTCGGTGATGATGATGCAAGCACCGATCCACCGAGTGCGGTAGCAGAGGCGCCGACGTCAAATATTTGCCGCCGACGCAATGACGACTTGGTCGGTGATTCTCGCAGCGTAGTCCCAGGTGCACTAACACCCAGTAACTCATACTCTACTGCATTGCTGCGTCGTCGATGTACAGTAATCCTACAGTACGATGGCCCGGGTTGAATATTGGACTCGCTGCAATCCCCCGCACGGCGACAATTGCTGATAGCGTCTTCCATACGGCCCTGGCTTCTCCAACCTGCGTCGGCGCCCCACCAAGCGCAACCATGTTTAGAGGGCACGGATAAGAGGGTCTGCACTCTGGAGGCAATAGCATGGAGTCGCTCGAGCGGCTTGGTGTTGATTACCGCAGCAGACAACAGAGCTGCGGAAAAGAGCCTCTTGTATTGGTTTCAACTTGGGGCTCTAGCCAAGTCGAGCCTTTGACCTACCGGTACCGACGGTAAGCTGTCCATCGTCGTAGCCAGCCTCGTCGGTATCCTTGAATTCAGTCTGCTGTGTTGATTTAGCGCGAATAAACGTACCTTATTACGCAGACGGTGCGACGTCGTCATCGTCCAATGTTATCGAAGAGGCGCTATCATGGATGGTCGTCTTGGTCCTTTGAATGCATCTCCTAATCACAATGAGTGTATCGGATATGGGCTGCAATCCGCAGGAACGCTGAAGATTAACGCAATTAACGCATACACACGCGCGTTTGACCGATCGACACCACACACGTGTGATGTATGTGAAAATACCACGTGGGAAATGAAAACCCTCGTCGAAACCACAGAGCACAAGCATGGAGTCGACGATTGCGCGGGCTTTTGAGTTCGTCGAGGACTCGCAGTCCGAGGACGACGACGCCGGCTACTACGGCTTCCGCCCGCCGACGCCAGCTCCAGAAGCACCTGCCGCTCCAGCTCCAGCAGCACCCGACGCTCCAGCTCCGGCGACCGAAGCACCGGCGACCGACGCTGCCCACGACGAGGACGAGGTCGGCGACGAGGATGGGTTCAAGGTCGGCGACCTCGTCGAGGTCGAGACGCGAACGTGGCCAGGCATCAACAAGATCGGCGGCGCAGCGCGGGTCATTAGCGTGTACAGCGACGGCGGCGACACGTTTGTGGACGTGCGCTACTTCCTCGGCGGCAGCGAGAAGCGCGTCGACGTTGCATACGTGCAGCCGTCCGACATCCACCAGAAGCGCGCGCGCCAGCGCTACTCGCGCGTCTTCTTCCACGACGAGTTTGCGGACGAGTATGGCCGCAAGCGCCGGGCCGACCTCGACGCAACGGCGGAGCTACTACCCAAGCCCAAGCGATCGAGAAAGGACGGACCACCTCGGCCCGCCCCGGAGCACCTGCGAACGCGCATCCTCGACGACGACGAGGGCAGTAGCAGCGCTGAAGACGACGTGTTCGTGCCCAGTCTGCCTCGACTTCAGCCACCAGAGACGCCGGCAATCCCTCGACCAATCGCCATGCCAAAACGGGCACCCCTGAACGAAGACTTCTTCATCACCACGGGCGACTCGGATGACGACGAGCGCGTCATCAAAAGCGCCAAAAGGCGACCACCTGGACCGAGCCGTCTCTCCACGAGCATGACGTGACCAAGGACGTGACGCAGGCCATCATGAGCTCGTCACCAGTCGCCAAGTACGATGCGGACCAACCTACGGAGGTTGAAAGTGACTACGACTTTCAGGGTGGGTCATGGAGCCCGGTGACGCACGACGACGAGCCACAGGACGCACCGCAGCCCCGTGTTCGGCGACAGAAGCGCGCCAAGAAGCGGCGGTACGTCGGCGGGTACCTCGAGGAAGCCGACAACTTTATTCAACCCGAAGACAACGCAATGGAGCTTCCGGACGACGTGCGCAAAGATACGGGGTTTCGCCTCGGGAAAACGTCCAAGGACCTTCTGCACCAGTATGCAGTGCACACGGAGCAGTTCCAACTCGTGCTCGCCGAGTTTGGCCGCGCCAAAGAGAGTCTCGTCGGCAGCTCGTTGGCGCCACTCGCACTCTACGACAAGGTAGTGTATCCGTGCATCAACCGATCAGGCGTGACATGCGTGGGCAGGTTCTCGAACTCGAAGCGCTGCACGCGCTCTCGATCATCCGGGAAGAAGATATTTTGGATGCGATTCTGCGCAAATTAGACGCCAAGGGCAAGTCCATCGTACGTCGGGCATTTCCTCTGCGGTAGTACAACTGAGTCATTCGTCTAGAAACCCGTCGAGAACCTCCAGCACGATCAGCGGAAAGAGCAAGTAAACGCGTTTGCAAGCTGGCTGCGCCAGCTGCGCGACACGACACTGCAGCGACTGCACCGAGACGGGCTGTCGGTGCCATCGCAGATGCCGCCGCCACCGACAAAGAAGCGTCAAGCGAGTCCAAGCGACAGTAGCAGCAGCAGCGACGACGACGACTACTACAAGGCGCCGTCGACCGAGACCGCAATTCCGGCGTTCATCGAGCAGTTCCACACAACGCGACCGGCACGCCCCCGCGCCTCGGTCGCAGTGCCGTCCACCCGGCCCAAGCGCCATGACAAGACCAAACCCATCACGAAACAACAAGCAAAGCCGGCAACGACGCCGTTGCTATGGGACGACGTGTACCACGCACCGCCGCACCGAGAGCAGTCAGCGCTGCCGTGGTTCTTCGAGCCCGCACCTAATGACAACGACGTGGGATACGACGACACGGACGACCGATGTGATGCGCCGACCGTGTTTGTGCCCCGGACGCTCAACAGACGTACGATTCCGGCAGCTGTGCTCGAGTCGACAACGTGGGACTGGAAGGCGCTCGTCAAACCGACGCGCCGGTCTGCGCCGGCGCCCTCCCGCTCGGTAGCCCCAGCCACGATCGCGCCAGCGCCCAAGCCGCCCAAGCGGTCCCGATCCCGCAACGTGTTTGAAGCGCTCTGGCGACATCGGCAGGAGCGATCGCGGCCGCTCATTCCGTTTTTCCCACCGAAAAAGTCTGTGTCGGCGTCCCGACGCCAGCCCGAAGCGCTACCCACCGCGTCGCCACCGGTTGCGGACGAGCCATCCGTGACACCAGATGTCTGTGTCTTGGACTATGTCTCTGACGCGCTGCCAACGCTACTTGTGTACTCGGCCGACGTTTTTGCGCGTATTGAAGCCCGCACCATGATGACACCACATCTGTCGCCCTCTCTCTTTCATGAGGTCGCCACTTCGAACCCTGGAGAAACCGTATTTATGAACAATGGAGTAGGATGCGCCGATTGGTGCCGTGCTGCAGCGGGCCTTTCGGTCATTGCGGCATCGTCTCTGCGACCTCCAGACCGCCGAAGCAATGTGGCTGGAGCAAACCACGCAGTCGCACACGTTGTCGGACGAGGTGCTCATCGGCATTGATGGTCTTTGACCAAGCTCATCTGGTCGATAGGAGCTGGCACGGGACGAAGCCGCCTTGGTGGCACAAGCGGCCGATTGCAGTCACTTGCTCGCGAGCCTTGCCTCGTACCTCGCTGTCCAAGATGCCCGTCAAAAGAAAAGGCTCAGCACCTTCTTCTAGAGGAGCTTCGCCTGACGACGACCTGCCTTCCGCATGTCGCCACACTGCTCCAGACGACGCCGGCATATTACTACTACTTGGAGCTCACCGAAGCAGCGTCGACGCCACTCTTGTCGGCACTAACGAGCGTGCACGCGCACTGTGTGTCACTCGTGCCTGGCAAACAAACGCAGCAAGCCGCCGCGCTCTTCCTTCTCGAGATGCACTTGCATGTCCCGCACCTCTTAAACACGGGCGCGGACGGCTACGACGCGCTTTGGCTCCAGCTCATGCGTCTACACGGTGTCGAATTCTGGGCGTTTTTTACCGAGCTATTACCGCACCTTCGCAAAGTCATCGCAGCCACGTTCGTCGCGGAGGCATCCACGAGCCTGGACATGCTGCTTCGTGAGCTCGTGTGGGACACGACCGTCGCATTGGCCCCGCTCTTCGCCCTTGCCGTGCCAACGATTGAGTCGGCGCATTCCATTCCAGGCGGCTGCTCATGATGGATTGGAATAGAACGCTACACCACTGGGCGCTTGTCGGGTACCTCCTTGCGTCCATGGACGCGCTGCCATGCTCGCCGCGCTTTGACGCTACCAAGTACGACTACCCATTGGACAAGGTCGAGCGCTATCGCGTGCGCGTGCTCCAGCGGCTCTTGCTCTTGTCGTCGATCTGGACGCCCAACCATCGTACGTGGCTTGTACCATCGAGAAATGAGGTTCCTGATGGCACTGAAACTAGTGCCCATTGTGACGATTGTGTTGAGTTTGAGCCAAGGCGCATCGAGCCACCCGGGACAGTGCTCGTGCGTTGCGTCGACCAGCCATGCGTGCAACGACGGCGACTGCCCGTGTCTGCGCAAGCACGTTGCGTGCACATGCTCCATGCCGCAGTTTTGCAGTTGCCGCTTTCCTCGCTTCCTCATCGAGCTCGCGACGGACGGGACGACCAACCTCGTCGATGCCATCGACCAGTGCTCGTCCGTCGAGCTCATGGGCCGCGTCATCGCGGTAGACAAACCTCTTGCCCCTACATGCCTCGTTTCATCAATGTCACATAGATGCAACTGCGTCAATTGGACAAAACTGTCCAGCGCAATCGCTTCCGGCATCCAATTCTGACGATCCTCAAGCCCGCAGCCGTCACTCCGACCGCCAAATGGAACTGGTCGGGCATGACCGCTGCCTCCAGCAAACCGAGTGCGGTCGTCGCGGCACCTGCGACGGCGGCGACGGCCCAAACCAACGCGAGCACGCGGCGACAAGCCAAGCCGCTCGCTGCGTGGCTCGACGACCGAGCAACGGTGCACCTTGCGCTGCTACGAATCGCCTGCAATGTTTTTGTATAGGCCCTCACGCAGTGCACGGTCTTCCTCTCCATGGCGCTGAGCACGTTGACGTCGCAAACGGAGCCGAAAGCGCTCAAGCGGGACGTGGGCTACTACGCCAAGGAAATCTTCCGTTTTTGCAACAATGAACTCGAGTACGACAGCCTCGCGCTGCACGCGCTCTGGCTCTTGGCGCGCGGTCTCGTCTCGGTCGCTCGGCAGTGCTTGCCGTCGCTCGTGACGTCGATGAGCGACCTCCTCACAGACATGGTCAAGCGGCTTCAGGACGAGCTTGGTCGACCAAAAACGACGATCGACACGCGCGTCGTGTCGCCACTCGTGGTGCTGCAAGGTACTCCACCTCATCTGTATGTTTCATCGTTCCATGCTCACCAAGATGACGTATGGTAGCCAACATTGCTTTGACGTTGCACTGCTTTCTGGACATTGTACGAGCGCTCAAGCAGCTGGAGCTCACCGCCGGGATCGTCGATGACGTTGCGAGCTGCTTGATTGCAATGTTCAACAGCGGCCTTGACGCGGTGCTTCAAGCCAGTCTTCTCCAACAGGTGCCCGCCACCACGATACGACTCGCGCTGGACCTTCTCGACGCGCTCTTGCCGCCCCAGACGTCGGTGCCGGCGCCAGCGCCCGTCGATGAGTTTGATGACCCCGAAGAGCTTGCGCTCTTGGCGGCTCTGGACATGGACGCATTGCTCTCGACCAATGGTTCGCCGTCGACGATGCCAGCCATGACGTTTGTGTCCTTGGTGACAACCCATGTTGGCGATCACGTCGTCAAGCAGCTGCGACCGTCGCTGCAAAAGCTCGTGCTCCATGCGCCGCAGACACCAAACGCAATAGCGATCCTCGGTGGTGTCCTCTCGCTCGCGCCGGGGACGAGCTGGGACCTTTTGCTGGCGTCGACGACCGCTGCGTCACTGCGCCTCGTGTTTCCAAGAACGTTCTCGTACGCGCTGCGTCGCGCGACCGACAAGGTAGCCTTCGTGGCCGCCTTTGCGCAGACGCACCGGCGCGAGTCGCTGTTTCTCGAGGCGTGGCTGCTTTGTCTCATGGACGCGACGACGTCGGACGAGGTCATGACCGACATGACGCGCGCGTTGGCGCCACAGACGCCGCTTCTGCACCACGTGGAAGCCACTCATCGCACTTCTGTATGGCGGGCGTTTGCCAAGAACATTGCAACCATGTACACACCGCACCCGCACCTTCTCCGGTCGGTGGTGGCCGATGTCTCGAAAGGCTGGCTCGGCGCGGTCCTGGACGGTGCGGCGGCCAGTCTCCTCGAGCTCTGTCTCGACCGCCCGCAGTGGGCAGCGCTGCACGCTTTTCAAGACTCGGTCCTGCCGTACACGATCTATGACGCCCGCGTGCTATCAGCCGTCGAGCGCGGGTCCTCGGCGACCGAGCGGGTCGTGCGGTACGTTGCCCGTCTCTACGACGGCGTTGGCGCGCTCCTCGAAGGCTGCGGACACTTGGCGCGGGGCAAGAGCCTCGTGTTTCACGTCTGGCTGCGCGAACTCTTTCCCAGCGCGAGCTACGCGACGCACTCGACGGCCGCCGAGAGCCTTCTGCACGGTCAAGTGGCGTCAATTTTCCGAGACAAGCCGGGGCCGCCCACGTCTTGGTTTGGATCCAAGCTGCCCAAGCCGTGGATCCAAGTCGTCGACGTCGCAAGAACATTCTTGGCCGTCCAGCACTACCCGACGCTCCTCGACTGGTTCGCCCAGGTTCATAACATACTCGTATGCATTCCATGGCCGACCATTTGGCGTAGACGGCGTCCGTGTACCGACTGTACGAAGGCGGGTTCGCCTCATCGCCCTTGCGTACTCTATTGTACAACCTCGTCGACCCCGACGGACCGTTGGGCCTCGCGTCGTTTTACCCGATCGAGTCGAAGACTGCTTTGCCAAGCTACAAGCGCGAAGCCGACTACTTTGCGCGCGGCCTCTTTCGGCAAGCGCCGGCGCTGCGACGGCTCGTACTGGAGGCCTTTGCCCACGAGATTGTGTCGACCCGCCTCCATGCGCTCGTTGGGTCGGAGGACTGGATTCCGCTCTTGCAACTGCTTTGGACCTGCAGTTCCGAGGCAACGACGCTTGGGACAGCGCGCGAATTCACGTGCAGCTTGCAGCTTTGCGTCGAGCACCTCGTGTCGCACTTGATGTGGCCGGACGCGCCCGTCTTCTCACCCCTCACGTACGTAATTCGTGGCCCCTGGCTCCAACTAAGATCTCATGATAGGTCGGTGCTGCATCGCCAGCTCTTCGGGTTTGCGCTCAACTGCATGGCCCTTCCGCGGGATGAGACGCTGCCCGATACGTTCGACCTGAGTTTGCACATGCTCGTGCTACGGGGTGTGCAACTGCACGGTGCGCTGCAGACGCCGCCGATGCCGCCGTCGGCTCAGACCACAGCGACCTTTGAGCGTCTCCAGACGCAGCTGACGCGAGACCACGGGTTTCGGTTCCGGTCGTCGCCGCCCGTGCTAGGGTCGAGCGCCGGCAGTGGCATCAATTCGTTCCGCGCGCAAGGCGATCTCCTTGTCGGTGTCGACGCGCTCCTCGCGGCGGCCAAGCGCTCGTCGCGGTTCGCGCACCTTGTAGTCTAGTCGATGTCTCTAGTCCACTTTACAACCGAACTAGACAACTCGTCCAAAGTTGATGCAATTAAATCGCGTAACCGTGAAACGGGCTTCGACTTGGGCTTTGGACAACGATGCCGCTCCAGTCGAGGCAGTACGAGGTACGTGGCGGTCGACAAGGTCGTCGACCAATGGCGTGGCGTCGCAGGAGCGCATTGTAAAGCTTGAGCAGTCGCTCGAGATGGCGCGCTTGCGCTACCAGTGTACGCCTCTTCCTCCATTCGGACGCTTCGATGGCACTCAAACTCAATCTGCGAGTAGCTCAAGCAGGCCGCATCAAGTAGACTAATTAGAGTCTGCACCTGCAACACTCTCTTTAGGGCGCTTGAGGCCGAAAACGCAAAGCTCCACGAGGACATTGCCGCTGAGCGCGCCGAGCGGTGGATTTTGATTCTTGTTGATGACGTCGTTGACGTGGAAGCAGGGAGACGCTCATGAAGAACCGGCAAGTGAACGTGCTCTTGGAGGCGCTCCAGGAAGAGCGCACGCAGCGCCTCTTGGACCTCGAAGCCGCACACCTCCGCGAGCGCGAGCTCCGTGCCCTCGCCACCGAAGCCGTACGACGCAAGCCTATGCTAGCATGATGACTCTCCCTTCATAGACGGTCGCGACCAAAGGCGCTCTCTTGGCCCAGGAAGAGGCGAGCCACAGTCGCGCTGAGATCAACGGACTTCGTGCGACCGTGCGCTGCAGTACAAAGCTCCTCCACGTCTGGCATGACATGTTCGGGTCCTCGACAATGACCAATATTGTCTGTAGACGTCCGAAAAAGAGTACCTCGCGATGCACAAGGAGCTCGAGACGACCCAACTACAGCTCCTCGAGACGCGACGGTATCGCATCCAAGTCGCTCGCCGCGCAATCAAGACGATCGCATAGAAAGCTGATTGCATCGACGAATGACGTGGCGGTCTGGACGGACCGGTACAACCAAGCCATGGTCGATCTGCACATGGCCCAAATGAAGCTCACGCAAAGCACGATCGGTAGGCTGGGTATGATGACACATTGACCAACCTATGGATGTCTAGGCGCGAGTGCCAAGGAGTCGGCACTCATGGTATGGACAATATTTTCCATCGTTTGACCGTGCTATTGCGTAGCGTGGGTACGGTGTCGTATTTGCCGAAGCCGACGGCGAGGCAGTCAACATTCAACGCAACCCGTTTCACTGCGTCAAAAAAGGTGGTGAAAATGATAAGTGCTGCGATTCACATGGCATAGGGACGGCCAAGTGGAATGGAGCGCGCGACGACCGGGCCCTTGCACATGTCAACTTGCTGCGTGAGCGCGGCCAGCTCCCCCGCCGTCAACGCTGCATGAGATTGCTCTCAACAAGACCCATTCCGCGCCGAGCGAGTTGGGACAAACCAAACCTTTGTACGGTGCATTTAGTTCAACCTCGTGCGCTCATCGAGAGCTGGCGTAGGGCGCATCGTCGGCCTCGTTCCAAGGCCGAGAGCACGCGGTACGACTCCGAACAAAGCGAGAGCTGAAGTGGTGTAGGGACACGAATGGCTCGAAATTTCTGGGCTACGGTCTCGGGCTGCTCAAGAAGGACCACATCGTCGCTGCGGACACCTCATTGTCCAACAATGTTCACTAACGTCGATGTACGATATTTAAGTCTCAACGGGTCGTTTCCATGGCTCCGAAAACTCAAAAACTCGTTTGCTTCGTTTGCCTTTCAAGTGGTGCGTTCCGTATGGGACGAGTGCCATTTTTCTTGTGCGCGTTGGCTGGGGTCCCTAGAAAGATATGGTTTTGTGTGTGGATTGGCGGTGCGATCGACTTCAATCATGGAGTACGCGAGTGGCTGGTTCCTGTCAAACGGGGCGGTTGCTTGGGGGCGTCAATAGATTAAGAAAATCGCTTCTGCTACAGAATATACGACAAAACGCCACACTCCAACAGCTCCCTTCTCAAGTGTACCGTCCCAGGCCTTGGAACCGGGGATGGCATTGTCGTCCGCATGCTCCAATAGCTCGGTGCCACCGAGCAATAGTGAAACGAAGTGTAATTAAGACATAGCTTTGCACCATCCTCAACACTTTTCGAGTAGCTGCGGGGATCGCAAGTCCGATCTGCATTTTCAGACCAGGCACACACAGGAAGCGCGAGCAAGCAAGGTCGCACCGAGACGCGTGCACCGCCAAGTGCCTATCGTGGGCTTTCGGTCGGAGTTGACATGCACCACAGCCGCCAGGCGCTCTTCATCCGCTTTAGCGACCCGTGCTGTTGTTGTTGAAGTGGGTCGTAGCGACCCGTGCTGTGGCCGCGGCCTCTGGATCACAAGATGTTACAGCTCAACGACATGTCGTCAACCAGACGTCGTCAAGTACGGGGTGCATCGCGGATCGCTGCTGTGTGGACTCGACCTTTCGCTGACAATCGCCAAGGGCTCGATCTTGATACCACGCAGCTCCTTGTTGCGTATGAAGCCTTGGGTGCCGAGCTGGATCATCAGAGCCAGTTGGAGTCCCACCGCGCGTGTACAATATTATCTCCCGTCATAATTCTGTCATATAGTGCCATAGGACACGCCAAACCTTTCTTAAGATGAAGAAGAAACTCACTGGGCGAAATAATCAAAATAATCAATCAACTAATTCGTTACTAGTATATGTGTAGGAGAAAACCAACCGCCTCGGCGTCGTTGGAGTCTTCAAGTCGCTTGAGGTCGAGCGTGAGTTACTACTCGACTTCTGTATGGTGCAGTCAACCCAACGTGGCAAGGCGACGAGGGACGCTGCAGAGGCGGCGCTCTCAAGCGATCGCCGATGCAGGCGGCGTGGCACGCTGGATTCTTATCCCATACTATCTCTTTGCCTTCATGTACTTCAAAACTGTCTCAATAATCAATATGGCAATAAAGTATATAGAATTGTATATATCAATATACAGTAAATGATTATATTGTTTTAAAGAGATATTTTGGAGACGTATTGCTATGTTTACCGGATCCGAATAGAGAAAAATCCAGTAATGACTAAAGGGACTTTTATCCAATCCCTTCGAAAGAAAGCAACGTGCCTGCACCTGATTGGCTCTTTCGACGTTGTAGCCGCCATCATGAAATCGTATCTTGGTGCGATAACAAGCTCCCAGGGAATCGAGGCGACGCCGCGTACTAGGAGAAACACGCATATCTGCTGCATTTACATGCAGTTCGTCAGCACCTCTGCACTCCGAGGTGAGGAGCAACTCGGGAGGTGGAATTGCTCTCCGATACGCTGACACGCTTCTGTGCTTTAAAAAAGCGGTGTCGGTGGCAAAGCTCTGTTTTGCTAATCTTGACCAATCCGATGCGAGATAAAGTCGATAGCGGCCCACCATTGGTGCGTTTTAGCAACGAGCTGGTCGTTGCTTACATTGCAATATCCGGATATTAGTCACAGACCGCCGGATACCGAAAGATTAAAAACTGCCAGGGATGTTTTCGCAACACCCAAAATACCAACCACAGACGACCAAGTCCCGCCAAGTGTAGCAGCGAGCCATGGACCCCCAGCCGACGACGACAGTGCCATCTTCGCCACAGGCAGCGAGTCCGCGACCATCGTTGGAAGGCGCCGTCGTGACGGGCGACGTGGCTCTGCAGAGCCCTCGCCTCTCGCGCGCTGGATCGCGCTCGTCGAGCTTCCCACCGAGCTCGCCCGTGGCTGCCGAGGCGGCGCCATCGCCAGGATCGCCGCGCAAGGTGTCTAGCTTCTCGCGCCGGACAAGCTTTGCTGTCGAAGACACGACGCCCAAGTACGAGCATCCGTCGGTCCCTACCGCGCTGCGCAAGGCGTTTGCCGACGGCGAGCAAGGCAGCGTCTTCCAGGTATTGGGCTCTCGTGCCTATGCAACGCTCATCGATGATGAATGTTAGTTTGTCGATCAAGAGGGCAAGTACAGTGACGACGACGTCAAGCAGCTCGTGCACGACGTACGTCTCGAATGTCGATGCACGTATATCTAAGACGCGCTGCGTAGCTCGAGTCGCTGGACGTCGCGTACATCAAGAAGATCTACACCGAGTCGCTCCTCTTTGACAAGGCGGCGCAGGCGTCGCTGACCAACTGCTCGATCTCGCCGCTCGACGAATTCGACTCGCTTCTCTCGTCGTCGACCGAGGCCATTGACGCGTGGCGCGCGGCCGGCTACGAGGCCATCAACCGCGGTGAGGTCGCCGCCATGGTGCTCGCGGGCGGCCAAGGCACGCGCCTCGGCTTTGACGGCCCGAAAGGCATGTTTGACATTGGTCTTCTCTCGAAAAATCCCTCTTCCAACTCTTCTGCGAGCGCCTGCTCAAGCTCCAATCGAACGCCAAGGCGTCTGGGCACCTCCCGACCGAGCCATCGATTCCGTTGTATGTCATGACGAGCGAGATGAACCACGCCGCGACCACGCTCTTCTTCGAAACCAACAACTACTTTGGCTTGTCGCCGACTCAAGTCGTCTTCTTTCCGCAAGGCACGCTGCCGTGTCTCACCAAGACGGGCCACATCATGCTCGAGACGCCGACCAAGGTCGCGCGCGCGTCGGACGGCAACGGCGGCGTCTTTGTCGCAATGCGCAAGCACGGCGTGCTCCAAAACATGCTGGACCGCGGCCTCAAGCACCTGCACGTGTTCTCGGTCGACAATGCGCTCACCAAGGTCGCCGATCCCGTCTTCATCGGCTATTGCATGGCCCAGAAGACGGACGTCGGCAACAAGGTCGTGTGGAAGACCGCGCCGGACGAGAAAGTGGGCGTCGTCGCCAAGAAGAACGGCAAGTACTGCGTCGTCGAGTACAGCGAGCTCGATGCGGCCAACGCCGTTCTCGTGGACGAAGCTTCCGGGAAGCTTGCGTTTGGCGCGGGCAACATTTGCAACCACTACTTTAGCGTGTACGTCGTTCTCCTCGATATATAGTGTCTGTCGGTGAGGATTGATACCTTGATACTAGACCGTTTTTGCACCGCGTCCTCACGACCGTGGACCTGCCGTTCCACATTGCGATGAAAAACATTCCCGCGGTCGCGCTCGAGGCTGGCGACAAGAAGACGCTGCCGGGCATGAAGCTCGAAGCGTTCATTTTCGATATTTTTGCGTACGCGACGTCCATGGCGGTACTCGAAGTCGCGCGTGAAGACGAATTTGCACCCGTCAAGAACGCGAACGCGTCGCTGAGCTCGGGCTACACGGCCGACTCGCCCGAGTCGGCCAAGTTTCTGCTCTCGGCGCAAGCCAAGCGGTGGGTCGAGGCCCAAGGCGGTGACTTTTCGCTGCACCTCATCACGAAAGGCGCGGTCCTCAAGCGTGGGCAGCGCATGAAGCGCTGGACGCCGCGCGTGCTCGAGTTTAACGCAGCGACCAACACAGTGCGCACGTACAAGGCCGAGAAGCCGGGCAACGCCAAGACCTCGAGCGTCATCTCGTGCCAGCCGTACGCGAAAGACGTTGACAGCTTTGTGTGCCAGCTCGGCAACGGAAAGCGGCTCAAGCTCAAGTGCGATTCGGCGGAGGCGCAAGGCCACTGGATCGCGCTCATCCAGGAGGCGCTGCGTCCGGACGTCGCCAACACGCGGCTCTGCGAAGTGTCGCCGCTCGTCTCGTACGAAGGCGAAGACCTCGCGCACCTCGCCAAGCGCCCGTGCACGCTGCCGTTCTACCTCTCGGAGGTCAACAACCGCCGTCTCAGCCAGCGCGCCATGTCGGTCGACGAGTACGTCTCGACGTCGTCCATGAAGACGATGGTCGTCAAGCCGACCAACAAGATTGCGATCGTGTACGAGCCGATGCCAGAGATCGTCGACGCCGACGACGTCCTTGTCGACACCAAGTTTGTGGCGATTTCGCCGCTCGATGTCGACCGCATCGCCCAGAGTGATGACACCAAGTACATGCCGGGCTACTCGCTCGCCGGTGTTGTCCAAGCTGTCGGCTCCAACGTCACGTCGGTGCGCGTGGGGACCGCGTCTGCGCCTACGTGCCGACGGGCGGTGTCTTTGCCGAGTTTGCCAAGCTCAACGCATCCAACGACTGCATTGCGCCCGTCCCGCTGAGCATGCCGTTGGATCTCGCCAGTCATGTGCCGTCGACGGCCTTGCTCGCGACCGCGTTCGCCGCGGCAGTCCAGGCCGGCGACCGCGTCGCGATCGTTGCCAACCACGGCGACATTGGGTAACACGCGCGCTTCGACGCGCGCTTGATAGTATGGATGATGCTATGCTGTTTTTATAGGTATATCGTGGCGCAGCTCGCGGCCACCCGCGGCGCCGACTGGATCGGCGTCGTGTCGGCGTACCCCGAAAAGTTCACGGGCTTGGACCTCGCCGTCTTCAAGTCGATGGCGGACGTGAATGCCGCGTGCGCCAAAGAGAACGCGGGCAGTTCGCCCAACGTGGTCCTCGATGTCGCCAAGAGCGTGGCCACGGCGCTGGCGCTGCCGCCGTCCTTCACGTCATCGCAGCTCGTCGACATCATCGATGCGATCGCGAGCAACACGCTGCATTTCCCGTCGACGCTCGTCACGGAGAAGCCGTTCGACTTCTTCTTGCACGCAAACCACGCGCTGCTCTCGAGTGCGCATGTGAGCGTCGCTCTGCGTCTGACGCCGCCCAAATTGCCGGACGACCTCATTCGGCGCCTCGAGGAAGCCAAGCAGGACCAAGTGCTCAAGGTATGCATTTTCCTGAGTGTGACGCGCCGTATTGACGCGATGGCTAGTTTTACCGCGACAACCTTCTCTCGCACAAGGAAATCGACCAGCTCATCCACGATGTAATACGCGATCTCGTGAGTCTCCAGGCCGCTGATATCGATGGTAGCTCGAGTTTCTGGACTTTGACCACTTGGCGTCCATCTTCAAGACGTCGATGACCAACAACCATGCGCCGACGGGCGTTCTCGAGCCGCTCGACACGGCCGACGCCGTCACATCGACGCCCGACGACGTTCTCGAACAGTGGGCTGCGACCGGTATCTCTGCGATCGCGCACAACCAGGTGGCCGCGCTCGTGCTAAGCGGCGGCCAAGGCACGCGGCTCGGCTTCTCGGGCCCGAAGGGCATGTACAACATCGGTCTTCCGTCCGGCAAGTCGCTCTTCCAGCTCTTTGCCGAGCGCATCGTCCGCCTCCAGGCGCTCGCAGCGCAAGCTGTCCCGGATGCGACCCAAAGCATTCGGCTGCCGTTCTACGTCATGACGTCGGCCATGAACCACGACACGACGGTCGTCTTCTTCAAGCAGCACAGCTACTTTGGCCTGGACCCGGCCCAGGTCTTCTTTTTTCCCAAGGCACGCTTCCGTGCTTCACCATGGACGGCAAGCTCATGCTGGAAAGCGCTGGCAAGCTCGCGACCGCCTCGGATGGCAATGGCGGCATCTACACGGCGCTCGCCAAGTCGGGCGCGCTTCGCCGCATGGAGGAGAGCGGCGTCCAGTACCTCCATGTCTTCTCGGTCGACAACGCCATGTGCAAGGTCGCCGACCCGCTCTTCATGGGCTATTGCATCGAGAAGGAAGCCGACTGCGGCAACAAGGTCGTCTGGAAGGCGCGCCCGGACGAGAGCGTCGGTGTGGTTGCCAAGCGCAGTGGCAACTACTGCGTCGTCGAGTACAGCGAAATGGACAAGGCGACGAGTGAGCTCCGTGATCCAAAGACCAACGAACTCGTCTTCGGCGCGGCCAACATTTGCAACCACTTTTACACCTTGTATGGATGTCGAGCCTCGGCGTGGCCTTCTCATTTGTCTGTGTATTAGGGCATTTTTGCGGGACGTGGTCTTGCCCCACATGAGTCTGCAGTACCACGTGGCGCACAAGAAGATCCCGATGGCCGACGAGACGGGCGCGACGGTGACGCCGACGACCAACTCGGGCGTCAAGCTCGAGTCGTTTATCTTTGACGTCTTCCCGCTCTCGAAGCGCATGGCCGTGCTCTCGGCGCCGCGCGACGACGAGTTTGCACCCGTCAAGAACGCACCCGGGAACCCCGTCGACTCGCCCGACTCGGCGCGGCGATGCTCAGCGACCAAGCCAAGCGCTGGCTCACGCCCCACGTGCGCCGCCCCGAGATGCTGCAGGCGCTGGCCTTTGTCGAGATCTCGCCGCTCGTCTCGTTTGCGGGCGAAAACCTCGAGGCCTACGTCGACGCGCTCACGCCGACAACCACTGTCTTGACGCTCGACACAAAGGACGTTGCTGCCAGTGCCCACTGCGTGCCCACTGCGCTGCGCCATACGCTGCACGAGTTCAACCAAGCACATGTCCTTCGGTTCATTGACAACGGAACCATCTCGCGCTACGACGCCGCGCTTTTGGTCCAGGACCTCGCGTCGATCGACTTGGAGCACCTCACACGGAGCTTTGAAGCGAGCATGGCACCCGCTGCAACGGACGCCGGCGTCTTGGAGCCGCTGACCACCGAGGTCGACGCGCTCGAGAGCTCGAGTGACACGGCGGAATGGTGCGATGCGGGTTTGAACGCGATCCGAAAGGGGCAGGTCGCGGCGCTCGTCCTCGCCGGCGGCCAGGGCACGCGACTCGGCTTTGACGGGCCGAAAGGCTTGTACGACATTGGTCTTCCGTCCCACACGTCGCTCTTCGCGCTCTTTGCGAAGCGGTTGCGCAAGCTGGAGCTGCTCACGAATGGCCGCATTCCGTTCTACGTGCTCACGAGCGGCCTCAACCACGAGGCGACGGTCACGTACTTTGAGCAGCAGTTGTACTTTGGCTTGTCGCCGAGCCAAGTGGTGTTCTGCCCCCAGGGCACACTGGCCGTGGCTTGACGACGAGTGGCCAGCTCATGCTCGCGAGTCACGGCGCGTTGAGTCGCGCGCCGGATGGCAACGGTGGCGTCTATCGCGCGCTGCAGCTCAGCGGCGCGATCAACGACATGCAAGCGCGTGGCGTGCAGTACCTCCACGTGTTCTCGGTCGACAACGCCATGTGCAAGGTCGCCGACCCGATGTTCATGGGCTACTGCATCGCGAAAGGCGCCGACTGCGGCAACAAGGTCGTCTGGAAGGCGCGCCCGGACGAGAGCGTCGGTGTGGTTGCCAAGCGCAGTGGCCGCTACTGCGTCGTCGAGTACAGCGAGATGGACAAGGCGACGAGCGAGCTCCGCGACGCGGCGAGTGGCCAGCTTGTCTACGGTGCGGCCAACATTTGCAACCACTTTTACTCCATGTATCCCTCCTTCTCCAAGCCCGACATGGCACCTCATGCATTCTTGTGTAGGGAGTTTCTCCAACGCTGCTGCAGTGGCGAGCACATGAATACGTACCACGTGGCACACAAGAAGATCCCGCACGTCGACTTGACGACGGGGCTTGTGGTCGACAAGCCGTCAACCAACACGGGCATCAAGCTCGAAACGTTCATCTTCGACGTGTTCGGCCTCGCGACCAAGATGCAAATTCTGGCCGCGACGCGCGAGACAGAATTTGCGCCCGTGAAGAACGCGGCGGGCGCGGCCGTCGACTCGCCCGGCACGGCACGGACCATGCTCTCGGAACGATGCAAGGCGTGGGTGGTGGCGGCCGGTGGCTCGTTTACCAACGCGGACGGCCTCTGCGAGATTGACCCGCTCGTGTCGTACGACGGCGAAGGCCTCGAGAACTATGTGCGGGCGCCGCTGACGCTGCCTCTGTACGTGACACTGCCGACGACCAAGGTCCGGGCCAGCTCTATCTCCAAGCCGCGCCCGAGTTCCTCGAGCACGCCGACCGGCACCGATGAGATCAAGCCTAAGAAGAAGGACAAGTGCGTCATCATGTAAGAAACGAGTGCATAGGAAGAACTTGTAGTGCAAAAACAACATGTTATATACATACATAATACCTTTGCAAATATGATGATTGCGTGACGAGTCACAGGCGCCGCGAACTCACATTTGAGCCGAGCGAAGGCAGCGAAGATGTGGTTGAATATGGCAAGTGGTGATTATTTATGGCGTTTACCACAAATAAATATTTGAGAGCCCATAACTCTGGCTGTGGGTATCCAACGTCGACGCGATATCGCGTTTAGTGCTCTCCTAAATGTCCTCTATCGCTATGCCAAGTGTGGGCGATTTCATTTTTGCAAGCGATTTGGCCGACGGGCTGCCTCGCGGGCGTGCCGCCTCGGGTGGCATCACCTGGTATTGGCTGAAACTGGTAGTAATTTGGCCAATGAAATAATTGAACAAATGTATTTTATCGCTTAGTACAATCAAGGCATATTAATTCGTCAGAAGTTTTGCTCAAGCAATAATGCACGCTCTCGGGACGCCCGTTTCCAGTCTTCTGGGAGAGCCCTGTCAAAGCCAGACTCCTCGTAAATGAGCCGACGGAAGGCTCCTATCTATATTGTAGGCTTGCGTTGTTGCTAGCAGCCAGTCTTCCGTAGGCTGCTCCACGACAGCATACTCGATTGGAAACATCGATACACACCTTCTCATCGGCTCCGAGCACTCCTTGTGAAGCATGCTTGTGGAGCGCCTAGAATAGTGTGGTAAAATTGGTCGTACGGATTTTGCTCCGGTAGAAATATCGTGTCGAAAGGTGGTGCAGTCGACACCGTTAAAGGCGCCACGGTTGGCAAAAGACTGGCGGCGGGCTGGGCTGCGGGAGTGTCGGCGGGGACGTCGCATGTTGTGGGTACCGGTCACCGGTACCAAGATGGCGACAAAGATCGTTCGACGTGCGGCTTGCGACAGTCGCGTCAAAGTACGTACACCACCACCTACACTCACTATTAAAACCTTTGGCGATCGCCGAGCTACACTCGTGACGAGCGATGACTTTCAAAGTACGACGAGTGCCAACCAGCAAGGACGCCATTCACATTGACCTCACTTGACGCGCTCGTCGATGAAAACGAGCACGCTTTTAGCAGTAGCGATGATAGCACCAACGCGTTCGTCATTGACAAGAGGATGCTTGGGTGACGTAAAATTACCTGCTGCTTCAAAACGCCCTGCCTGCTTCCACTGGCCTGCTTCCTCTGCTTCCTACACTTGCGATCGAGTCTGGAATCCGGAATCTAGAAGCGAGCGAGGTGGTCAAGCAGGCAAACAAACAACGTCTTCTTCGCAAGGCCACATCGCACTCCATCGTCTTGGATAGAAGAACGCCGCGACAAGCAAGACAAGCAAGACAAGCACGCGTAACCACAACCCACAGGTGCACTCATCAATACGACCTATAAGACGAGCAGCGATTTGACATGGGTGGAAACCAAGAGATGGGTCCCTGCGATGGTGATCGATGCATCGAACATGCCCATCGTCGTCGCCCCACCGAATCAGGTCGACCCCGGACCTGGGCCCTGGACCCCACTAAAAAGTACGACGGGTACCCTATTCGCTCCATGGCGCACCTTTCATGACGTCGCCGCCCTTCTTGGCACTCGCTCGTCGACAGTCGATGCTCCATTACGACTGGCAAGCTTCTGGCTAGCTCATGTCCGGGTTGAAGAAGTGCTACTACATGTGGCCATTTGTGGGGCCCCCCTCGACCAAGCGGCCGATGCGCGTTCCATCGAAACAGCTGGCTTTGGATCGCTGCCGGTCGCCTGCCCCATTTTACAAAGTACAACCCAAAATGGACTCGCAGCTCGTGACGAGCATGAGCGAGGTCGACGACTTCCGCGTCGAGAAGCAGGCCCCGCGCCGCTGGCACCGCAAGCGCATCCTTGGCCTTCTCGGCGCGCTCGTCCTTGTCGGTTCTGTGATTGGCATCGTCGCCGCTTCGACGTCGTCATCGAGTGACGCGAAGACTGTCAGCACCAGCGCGACGAACCTTGGCATGGCCATTTGCTACGACACGTACCAAGCCGACAAGATCGACGCCCATTTTACAACGATCGCGACGCGCTTCTCGGCCGTCCGGTCGTTCCAGACGTGGCTGCCCAACAACGACAACGTCATTGACGCCGCCGCCCGCCACAACCTCTTTGTCTACCCAGGCATCTGGCTGCGCGGCGCCGACTACGCCCGCGACGTCCAAGCCGCAATCGACGGTGCGCGGCGACACCCGGGCACGGTCAAGGCCGTCCTTGTCGGCAACGAAGACCTCTCCAACGGCTGGAGCGTCGGCGACCTCATTAGCAAGATCAAGGACGTCCGCGCCAAGTTCAGCGCCGCGGGCCTGAGTCACATTGCGATCGGGACGGTGCAGATCGACGGCGCGCTCCTCTCGCACCCCGAAGTCGCCGACGTGTGCGACGTCGTCGGTGTCAACATGTACGCGTTCTTCTCGGGCGCGTCGTACTCGTACACAGACCCGATGCGGGACACGGACGTGCGCTGGCAGGCGATTTACGCCAAGTTTGGCAGCAAGGCCGTCATCACCGAGACGGGCT